TTTCCTCGAATACAAGAGAAAAGCCAAGAGAAGCAAAACCGACACAAACTGAAGACAAAACTAGTGAGAATCCTAAGTATTAAAATGATTCAACTTAGCTTATGGCTATAATTTTTCTTGGTAATCCTATGCAATATATTATGCCATTTAGGCTTTGTTATGTAGTCAATATCACTTGCTTTATATTTGTGGAAAGACATCTATCTATATAATTATTGTGCATTATGTAGTCATTACGCCTATAGTAGAAAACTTTCCGTTTACAGAAAAACTAGAGCCAATTGACAAATTTCATTGTTATATTTGAACTCAGAATGTGAAATTCCTTAAGAAATGGATCCTTTTGTTTCCAAAACTGGCAAAAAATAAAAATTTGTTGAACAGTGTAATCATAGAAAATATACATACAGTATATTAGGCAAAATGCAGGATTAAAAGAGGATCTGAGCCCCCAAAAAAGATGGTGTAGTGTGCAGAGGTGCCCCTATAGGAGAACATGCTTATACATGGCTCATTTGGTAAATGAGGATTTTCTTGATCATAGCACTCACATATAACACCGTCAATGTGTTTGTGGCTCACATGGACCTTCAGTAGGATGGCAATTTGTGACACATGCAGGTTGATTTCTGACACATGCAGGTTGGAGAGTGCAAAATGTAGAAGTTAGAAGCTGCTTGGCTACCATGCACAGCTGCACTAGATTTTGCACTCAGTTTTAGTAAATCAAACCCCTTTTGAGTGCTGCTGAGTAGAGTTTTTTGCTAGCCATGCACAGGATTCTTCATCACAGCTAAGCGAATGCATAAGGCATTCACACAGCAAATTTTAAAAATAGAACCCGAAGTAGAGCATGAGACCCTAACCCTAAGTAGATTTACATGTTTGAGAAACTACACAAAAATATGACTAGTTATGGACTCAACCTGAATAAGGGATTTGTGTATATATATATATATATATATATATATATATATATATATATATATGTAAAAATGGTAATGCAAAAAACAATAATTCAAAAAGGAAGCAGTGGTCAATGACGCACAAACACTTCTTTATTGAGAAAAAAATAAAAACACAAGAAATCATACTACACTCCACAGGTCCCAGGTAACAGTCCCCAAAAGGGAATACCCACTAAAAATGGATTAATTAATTAGGATGACTCTCCTCATAAGCAGCGACATTTGTTCCATATGACACAAAAAGGCGCAATTATGTATAAAGCGATCCTGTTACTTGGGACCTATGGAGTGTGGTATGATTTTGTGTTTGTTTTTAACTTTGTTTTTGTCAATAAAGAAGTGTTTGTGCGCCATTGACCACTACTTCCTTTTTGAATTATTGCTTTCTACATTACTATTTATACATATATATACAAATCCCTTATTCCGGTCGAGTCCATAACTAGTCATATTTTCGTGCAGTTTCTCAATAATTTGGTGTCTAGGGACTCCCAGTTCACCCTTTTTTGGTTACGTATTATAGGTACCTTTTTTAGGCTTTTTTTTGGAGGTTTTGCAGATATACGGGTACATGTTTCACCTAAACTGTATTCCATTAATCATCTAATAGTGTGCAAAATAAATGACTATTCTTCTAAAATTCCTCTATCTGCACATGATCTGTGTTTTAAGTGAACACAAGCTTATTTAGGTTAAGTAAAATATGTACTCCTAGAGTAAATTGCGAGTAGTGGTCTGTCAAGTCTGTAAGAAAATTTAATTTTAAATTCTTTGCTTTATTAAGCAACCTTAACAAAAGCAAAAGCCGGGTCTATTGAACACAAACCTAGAAACTAACATGTATTTTAAAATTCTAAATAATTATTGTAATTAAAGAATGTATAAATGGAAATAACATAATACACTCATAAACTAAATACCACAAATATTAATGCAGTTATGTTAAATACTGTAGGAAGAAAAAGGAGAGAACAAAAACAGCAATAAAAAACATTTAATAAATAACAATTTAAAACTTCAGTTAACACTCTTACATTTATCCATATATTGGGGTGCAGTATAAATAGCCAAAAGGTGATGATGGAACCTTTGCCTGCAAGACTTTCCATGTCTAGGCTTGTGGGTGGGGCCTACTCACTTCGTAGATAGGGACTCTTTGTGAACGCACTCAATAATGCCCAAGACGGGGCCAAAGCAAGCATGTTAGATATGACTTCCATCAACTCCTCTGCATGGTTAACCCTCTCATGTTGGCTCTCTTACTTCTCTCTTCATCCCCTTGATGTTATCAGTAAAGTGAGTGGTGAAGAACAAAAGATTGTGAGTGGGAGGCAAGGTAGGTCTGCGGGAAGAACTGTGACCAGAAGGACATGTGCGTAAGGTGTGCATAGAAGCTGAGATTGAGGTGCTGTGATGGGGTTGTAGCCTTTTTTTTTAATGTTGTTGGCCTTTTTTTAACAGCAGGTTTCTGTTTCAGGTGCATTTTTGGGGGGTTTTGTTTCTTTTGGTGGTGTCGGGCTATAAACCAGGTGGCGCCAGAAAGAGCAGTTAAAATCACACTTTCAATGAAATAGGAAAAATAACACAATTCAGGGACACATTCAACCAGAGTTTGGATGCCAGAGCGGGTAGACGATCCAAGGCCGGGAAACCAGAAGTCAGCATAGTCAGGAGCCAAAGATCAGGAAAAGGAATCAGAAGAGAAGTAGAGAAGAGATCTAGTTGTACACAGGAACACACTGGAGATCATACACCACACAAGGGCAAGAAGGAAATGAGCTAAGCTGCTAAGTTAGCAAAAAGGGCTCGCTGTAGGCTGGACTAATGAGGCAGGTAACAGTATCCGGGTGAGGAGATAATGAGTGGCTGGTAATTAACCGACAGCTGAGCAGCTTCTGAGTACTGAAAGAAAGCAGCTGCTGACAGGTGATTTCTTGATTGTTAGCTTATGTTAACCACTTCCCAACTGCCCTATAGCAGGACTACAGCTACAGGGTGGCAGGGCTCTGCAAAATCACGTATATATACGTGATCTGTATTCCCTGGTAGGGGTCACACGTGCACACCACCCCACTTTCACCACCATTGGCGGCTACAGCTACAGAGTTTCCCCGCCGGCACCCAGTGATCGCCGAGGAACACTGACAAAGGAGAGGTCTATATGTAAACAATACAGATCTCTCACCTGTCAGAACCAGCACACTGTTTTGTATTTCTCTGCATACCAGAGCAATACAAAGCAGCGTGCTTACACAGTAAAGCACACAGATAAAATAGCAAAACAGCACACAGTTAACCCTTTGATCAACCCAGATGTTAACCCCTTGCTGCCCAGTGCCATTAGTACAGTGTCAGTGCTTTTTATTAGTGCTGATCACTGTATTCGTGTCAGTGGGGATGTCAGTAGCAGTTTGTCCACCCTCAGTGTCAGAATGCCCGCCGCCTGCTATAAGACGCTGATTGCCGTCATTACTTGTATAAAAAAAAAAGTTCCAGTATATATACTGCCATTTGTAGACGCTATAACTTTGCCATGAACCAATTAATTTACAAGTATTGGGATTTTTTTTTGGCAGACATGTAGCAGAATATATTTTGGCCTAAATTTATGACAAAAGTACATCTTTTTTAACTGGATATGTTTTATAGCAAAATAAAAAAAATATTTTTTTTTCAAATATGTCGGGTCTTTTTTGTTTATAGTTCAAAATATAAAAAAAAAATCAGGGGCGATCAAATACCACCAAAAGAAAGCGTCATTTGTGGGAAAAAAAAAGGACAAAAATTGCATTTGGATGCAACGTTGCATGACTGCGCAATTTTCAGTTAAAGTAACGCAGTGCCATATTGAAAAAAATGGCCTGTTCAGAAATGGGGAGGGGGTAAATCCTCTGGAGGGCAAGTGGTTAATATGCTGACAGTGCTTTTTTAAGTTTGGGATGCTCAAATCACTGCAATTTTTTGCCAATCATTTTTAGCTGTTGTTTTCTGCAATCTGTTTCACTGAGTAGCTGCTTTGACCAATCAATTCTCCACTGACCACAATACTAAATTGACTCATCATACTAGACATACACATGTTGCTGCACTCCGTAACCTATATTGTATGTTACCATCATCATATCTATTGTATAACAGACATAACATAACAGACCATATGAGTGTTATAAGGCCCAGAAACACAGTTCTCTGTTTACACAATCTTTCTTATAGGTAACTACTGTGTATAATTTGGGAACTTCAACTGTATATGAATGCAATAAAAATCAATCAGCATTCTGTAATCGTCTTTTCTAAATTAGAGATATATTTTGGGTGTTGTTTTTCTATAGGGTATGAGCCATATATAATTATCGCCTGGCATGTGGCTCAGTAATTTAAGCGTAACGTTTGTTTGTTTTGTTTTATAAATGCATCTTTCTCTCAGCTGCTGAACAATGCTGCACAAAACCGAACCATGGGATTACAGGCTGCATTATTACAATTAATAAAGACAAATACATTTATTTCAATGAAATAAACATGGTTGCGGCACTTAATTGGTTAAATAAAATTAATTAAGTAATTTGAATTTTCAATTTATTTTTTACTATCTTAACTATAACCAAGCAATAGAACTGCTCAGTCCTTACGACTCGAGCATAAATAAATCAATGAAATATTAAACAACTGTTTTTAACCACTAGCCTACCAGGCACTTTTACTCCCTTCCTGCCCAGGCCAATTTTCAGCTTTCAGTGCTGTGGCACTTTGAATGACAATTGCACGGTCATGCAACTCTGTACCCATATAAAATTTTTATAATTTGTTTCACACAAATAGAGCTTTCTTTTGGTGCTATTTAATCACCAATGGGGGTTTTATTTTATGTGATATAAACAAAAAAGGCAAAACATTTGACAAAAAAAAGTTTCTTTGTTTCTATTATAAAATTTTGCAAACAGGTAATTTTTCTCCTTCACTGATGTGCGTTGATGAGGTTACACTTATAGGCAGCACTGATGGGCACTGATGAGGTGGCATGGATAGGCAGCACTGATAGACACTGATAGGAGGCATTGATAGGAGGCACGGATGAGCTGGCACTGATTATGCTGCACTGATAGGTGGCACTGATGGGCGGCACTTCTGGGCAGCACTACAGTGCGTAGGGCACAGGTGGCACTGCAGGGCACAGGTGGTTAGCACTGATGGGCACAGTTGGGTGGCACTGATGGGCACTGATGGCAATTGCCGGTTATCAGCAGTACTTTCCTCATGCTGTGACAGTGTGAGGAAAGTGCAGCCGATAAGTGGCAACTGTATTTACCCAGTGATCTGCTGTGTCATTGGACACAGCTGATCACGTGGTAAAAGGCCTCTGTGATTGGCCATTTACCATATCACATGATAAACTGTGTCTGTAGGACACAGCAATCACCGGCGGCGCTGGGGGTGCGCAGGGGGCGTGTTCTGGAATGACGTCCATGGACGCCATCCCAGAACTAGACAACCACACTGTAGCCATCTTTCAGCTATAGCGTGGTATGGAAGAGGTTAATTCAAAGGTGACAAATCCACTTAAAGTGCCTGTGACAAAGGGAGGGAGGGAAGCTTGCTGTCCCTGACCACTCTGAGAAAAAGCTGCTGGAGAACTCTTTTTATATGGAATTCCAAGAATCAGGAAAGATCTGGAAAAGCCTAGAACGCTTAAGAAATACTTAAAGGGGCAAAACCAGCAGAGTAATAATCCTGAGGCAAAACATGTTGCTGCTTTAAGAATATATATAAGGCAGCCGCAAGCCCATAGAAAGTGGGCCCAAATGAATTGTGCCCCCTCTTGTCATGGTATTTTAAGCTGCATCTTTACAATAAATAAAAAAATACACTTATTTTAGTGGAATAAACATGACCACTGTATTTTATTGTTTGAATAAAATTAAGTATTTTGAATTTGCTAATTTTTTTTTTCACCATCTTAACTGTAACCAAGCAATAGAACTGCTCAGTCCTTTATGTTTCAAATGTAAACATATCAAATTATTAAACAACACTCCCCACCTAGCTGGGACTTGTTATTCAAAACAAGGACTGGCTTACCCCAATACTGTAGCCATTTCAATGCAGGATTGAAATCCTGCATTAAAAATATCAAGTCCAATGTCAAACAGGTGAATACCATCCTGTCTGAAAAGACCCAGAATACCTCCTTCCAGTTCAAAATGATGGAAGGAAAAACCATTAATGACTGGCATATATTTCTCAATGGATCTGTTTATGCACCTCCTAATCTTTAAAAAAGCTTCAAATCAGGAGAAGAATAACAAATCAATCAAATCATGTTTTATCATACTTGTAAATAACAAATCTAGAGTTTTACGTTTTCCTATATCATTCCCCCTTAAATTTATTATTAGAATAGAAGGGGAGGGGGAGGCCAAAGTTGAAATAATCTAGACCAATGAAAATAAAGATTGCAGCACAAAAAAACATGAAAACGGTCAGGATGCGTGCTAAGATTTTCCGAATAACATCATTGGGAAGCTTTTTTACAAGCCCGGTAAATAAAATAAGGTCCACGATCCAAATGAAAACTTTTATTACATGAAAAATTAAAGATATAAGTTAGGGGGGATATATAAATTAAATCTCTGAGAATCCCATCTACCCAAACGTTTTATAATAGAATCCTCAAAGCCCAATCTAGCAGTTTCTATAGCCGCTAGAAAAAAGAATCATGCTAAGGTTTTCACTATATGATTATGAGACAAATTTAGCTGAACCAAGGAATACAAAAAGCCAAAAATTGTGTGTTCAGATGGTGAAGAGTAATTAAAACCAAAGTCCTTATTAAAAGAAAACCACTTTTCCCATGCAACTGAACCTTCAGTCCGAGTACTAACTGCTACAGAGCTCTTTATTGCTTCACTGACATAAGTCATATTAAGTCCCATCAGAAGTCCGGGCAAACAAATCCTTCCACATCTGCACTTGGAAGCAGCTGCCAATGTGTCTTAAAAACCTCTGGATCCTGCAGCATCAGTAGATAAATGTAGTGTCAAAAACAAAATCGTCCTGAAAATAAGATCTACCATTTTAGTCGTCAAGGAATTCAGACCAAATAATTAGATCATCTTTAACTGCTTCCCAGCTGCCCTATAGTAGAAATACTGCTACAGGGTGGCAGGGCTGCACAAAATCAGGTGTGTGTGTATATACGTGATTTTGCATTTCCGGGTAGGGGGCACACGCCTATCCGCGCCACCATTGGCGGCTACAGATGTCAATCACCTTGTTCTGGCCAGCACTCTGCAATCGCCAAGAAACATGGACAGGGGAGAGACCTGTGTGTACACAACACAGATCTCTCTCCTGCCAGCAATAACATGCTGCTGTGTAATTCTCTGCACAGCAAAAATATCTAGTTATGTAGAAGAAAAGCTTCAATTAATACATTGAAGAATCTGGAGGACCAAAAAACTAAAAAATTGTCTAAATAGATTGCATTGTTAAAACCAGACTCATGAATATGAACCCATTGTAAGAAAGAAGCAAAAGCTTCAAAATAGGGGCATGATAGTGAACACCCCATGGGCAAACACATTTCAAAAAAACATTGGCCCTCAAAATAAAAACCAAGAGAATTAAAACATTCAGGTGCAATCCGGAGCAAATGAAAAGATGATTTTAATCAGCTTTCGCAAGCTGGGTACCATAACCAACATTTTTTTTGCCAATGGCATCAAAGGTTGAATAACAAACAGATGATAAAGAGCTATCTATTTGGTCATTTAATTAATCCACTTTAGGAAAGGTGGTGGATGAGTCTGAAAGAATTTTGGCTCTTTTTTTGGGAACGATACCCAAAGGGGTTATATGGAAATTTGGAAAGGGAGTGGAAGAAAAAGGGCCAGCTACCCTCCCTTCAGAAATTTTGTTGTAAATTTTTTCCTTAACAATATGTTTAAATGTATCAACCGATTTTAAACTACGAATTAATGAACAGCCGGAACCTTCAAAAATCGGGAGTTGAAAACCATTTGTAAACTCCTTTTAAGAAGTAGAGCCATCTTCTTTGTTTTGGATATAGGTATAGCCAGTGATGCATTCTTTCCAGCCTCACAGGAATCAGGCCTTTTGGAAAAATATCTTTTTGATGTGTGGACCTCTTAAAACACTTGGAGAGAGGACAAGTGGCAGCACATAAAGAGCACTAGTGTTTATATCTGCAAGAGAAATTCCACTTGCATTGAGATTCAGTAAAGGGATAGCAAATGCCTTTTTTATAGGCAGAAGCAGCACTAGAATTGGTGGGTGGCTTGGTGGGTGGCTGTTTTACAGGGTTGACTTGCTAAGGCACAATAAGATTTAGCCCCAATTCTACATCCTACATTCACCAATGTAAATTAGGGTATTTAGATAGCTTTTGATGAAGACTCATCATAATAAAACCATTCTAAACCACCAAAATTCTGGCATGCCTCAAGAATTTTCTCTAGATACTGGAATAAGCCGCTATGTTTATTAGGGACATTTTTCACCCATAACATTGGAAAAGATGCAAAAGGCTTGCTGAGCAGCGCCATTTTCTTCTTCCCTGCACTGGTCACTGCTATCTTCTTCAAGCTCCAGGCACTGCCGCAGCCACTCTTCCCCGCCAGCGCTCTCTACTTTCTCCAGCAGTCTCCTTATCAGAGTCTTCATGGTCAATTGGACAGAAATAAAATACTATAGCCCTAAAACTCGTTGTGCTGTCGCTGACCACTCTGAGAAAAAGCAGATAGAGAAGTCCTTTTATATAGAATTCCTGGAATCAGGAAAGCTCTGGAAAAGCCTAGAAATAACACTTAAAGGAGCAATAACAGCAGAGTAATAAATCTGAGGCAAAACATGTTGCTACTTTAAGAATATATATAAGGCAACTGCAAGCCCATAGACAGTGGGCCCAAATGAATTGAGCCCCCTTTGGTCATTCTCTGCAGTACTGAGGACTGCTTACCACCACTGCTGGACAGAAAGAGAGAGACCCTGAGATATCATGTGACTTTCCAAAAGACACTTAGAAAAAAGTACGTATTCAGGAATTTCATAATTAAATTAGGACAGTGTAGTTGAGCTTTAAGGCATATACAGTGTATTGTGGGTGCAAAGATTGTGGTATATGTATGTAGTATATACAGCAAGTGCAGATGAGCACAACTGAAAAATTGTTTTTCTTTTCAGATTAATTTGTTAAGTACATCATTTCGTTTCATCATATCTGTTATGTTAAAATGATTCATTTTCGGAATTTGTTTCATATATTTAGATTCAATTTGTATATTCGTTGTCCTGAATAGATTGGACAATATTGACTGGATTTGTGTGCATCCAAAACTAACAAATGGAACAAAAATTAATTTTAGATTCATTCATTATGTTATGATTCAGAGATTCTGATGGATACATCTCCGTCCAAACCAAACTCAATCCGTAGGAATAATCTTACTTAACTTTTATACCTTACTGTACTTATTGCAGTATGTTTCCATTTTATATGTAGTCCATTTTTTATAACAATGAAAAACGTTAATGCAAAGAATCAGCTGAATGTCCAAAAGTTAAAGACTACCGCATCCCTCTCATCCAAATAAAACAAATGAACCCGAATTAATATTTATTCATTCATTATGCTATTAAGTTAATTGCATTTCCTTATTCCCAAGTGCCTTTGTTGGGCCACACATATACGAATTAAACAAATGGTTTAACCACTTGCCCTCCAGAGGATTTACCCCCCGACCAGGCCATTTTTTGCGATACGGCGCTGCGTTACTTTAACTGACAATTGCATGATCATGCAATGCTGCACCCAAATGAAATTTATGCCCTTCTCCCCCTACAAACAGAGCTTTCTTTTGGTAGTATTTGATCATCTGTGCAGTTTATTTTTTTGCGCCATAAACAAAAAAAAGACTGACAATTTTGAAAAACCCAATATTTTTTACTTTTTGCTATTAAACATGTCCAGTAAAAAAAATCTAATTTCGTCAAATTTAGGCCAAAATGTATTCTGCTACATGTCTTTACTAAAGAAAATCCCAATACGCGTAAATTTATTGGTTTGTGTAAAAGTTAGTGTTTACAATTGGCGGTATATATACTGGAATTGTTTTTTTTTTTTACTAGTAATGGTGGCAATCAGCGACTTATAGCGGGACTGCAGCGGGCATTCTGACACTGGGGGGAAATTACTCGGTGTCAGACATCCCCAGTGAAACCAATACAGTGATCAGTGCTAATAAAAAGCATCAACACCATACTAATGGTACTGGGCAGGAAGGGGTTAACATGTGGGATGATCAAAGGATTACCTGCATGCTGTTTTACTATGTGGACTGTGTGTGCTTTACACTGTAAGCACACTGCTTTGTATGGCTCAGCTCCTGCACACTGCTTTGTATGGCTCTGCATAG